CGTCGCATGGAACCCATATCGAACGGGACGCTTTGCTATATGACGTACAATCATGACTGAAAGCCAACACATTGTTTTGTAGTGGTTGCTTACGTGACGTCGAAGTATTTCTTTATCGCATGTGTGCAGTGTGCGATTTACAGTGCAGTATTTTAGATATATCGTCAATCAGTGGCTATTCAGCTGTGACTTACTGACTGACGGACGGACGGACGGACGGACGGACGGACGGACGATTGCACGTACATGTGGGTATGTTAAAAGGAGTGAGCCCATACACGTATACAAATGAAAATGTGGATCTTGATTCATAGCTAGGTATAGGATGCTAACGAACCCCAGTGACTGTTATCATATTTATACTTAGGTAGTTAACACAATTTATACCGTCATATTAGCTCAATCAGTGTAACCCACTGTTATGGTTTGTTCCAGGTACAATGTTCCGTCAAGCCATAAACTTGTTATAATAATGGTAAAAAAAAATCCATAGGTTTTGTCTAATTTTCAATCACAAAACATTGATATACATTATATAAAATAATATATTTAAATATTCAGTTAATCATTGTATGCCGCCGTCATTTTTAGTCTGTAAGGTATAATAGTACATAATGCGCAATACCCGGTGAAAAATGTTTGGTCGAATAAAACGCTGTTGGGAAGGGGAGAAAACATGTCATTTCCGTCACGAAAGGGGCCGTTTTTTAATTATATGTTAAAATGTGGCCATGTTTATTGTTGTTCTAAATAAGTTTCAAATATTTGTACGGAATTGTCCGTAAAAGTAGCACATATAGAGTGAACATCACATATGTGCATGTATGTTAGTGCCCTCTCATTCTACTCGATATAAGCAATGCAGCATATATACATTGTTGCAATTTTTCAATAACCACGGTCCATGAGGATTTAATAACGCGCAGATTAATTAAACATTCTCCGATTAAGACGCAGACGACAGGTAATTAATTAAATATCGAGTACGAGTAAAATGTTTTAAGATAATTAAAAATTGTAACACTAGGAAATCATCACAACTGTTGACAACTCGCTGAGCTCTGAACTTCGCGACACCACATGCATTTGAGTGAGCACTCACGCGACGAAACGATCGTGTGCTCTCTGACGTCATCCTTTAAACTGAAAATGGATATTCACGGGCGCGGTATCAAATATTTAATGATAATTTGTGCCGATAATTTATGTTTAAAAATAGAAAAGCATCTAATTGTAGCTATTATTTTACTGCATGCTAAATATGATTGATCATAATCGCCTGAACGTCATCTGGTAAATCGCTGAAAGGCTCCAGCAAGGTTGTCATCATCCTCGGCAACAACGACGGCGGTGAACACCGGTGTTCCCCGGCCAAGGCTGAATACATTAAAAATCAATCTCCGAATCATTTACAGCAATTAGCGTGACGGATCGTATCAATATTCATCGACGGTGACTGACAAGTTGTGTACTCGTTCTTGACTTGTTTTTAATATCACCACGAATCATAGTCTGCGATTGCTGCAATGTCACCGGATGCAACCTTTCGGAAGTGGAGGGCGACATAGATCATTCTTTCACACTTATTGACTAATGTACACACTGGTGTACACAGTGCGAAGAAGCCGCCGCGGTGGATCGTCGCACTCTGAGCCAACACCGATGTACACAAATAGTGTACGCTATGTTTAGTATTAAAGTTCAATGCGTACATATAGTCATCGGGGCTATAATTCGATACAATCTTAGAACACATATTCCCCCGCGGTCTTGGTGAGATACGTATTTTCGTCTCGGCGTGGAAACATCAGCGACCCTTGTCAGCCGTGAGATAAATGCATGCCTAAAAACAAATAACAAAGACCCCGTGGCTCTATGTTTAATGCAACGTTGGCAAACTGTATATACATATTAATTGTTCCTGGTAGTAAAGTTTTATATCCCATTAAATGTGATCAAACATTGGACGCGCTGTCGGCATCACTTTCACACAAACTGCCTCACTAACTGTTTGGAGAATTTGTAGAATCCGGCATAATCACATGTCTGAATATATTATATACTATTTTATACTTTATTTTTTTTTTGCATCTGTGACACTCTTCAAATTTCCATTTACTCATGCACCACTTAATATATTTGATTTAATTTAAAGCTTCCATTATTTTTCAGTGTTAGTATGATTGACATGCCTATATCGTCATACAACGCAATAATTCAATCGTATATCTGGTAACACCGTGACTCTGACGCTCACACCGTAGTTGTGACATCGAGCATTGCATGGATGAATTGTAATGTAATGAATTCAATCACAACTACCGCATCTTGTAAATACAGTTGAGCCAATCAGTTACAGATGGCGAACAGCGAAAGTTATACCCCATCCTTGAATCTTTTGGTAAGATAAGTAATTAAATCGACAAACTAGATACACGTTCAATCCAAAGCGGGAGGGTGGATCCTAAAAGATCGACGATAACTCAAAACTTCAATGTAATCAACTGATGAACTCTTCCATGGGTCATCGTAAAACAGATAACCCCCCCCCCCGGAAATAGGGCAATTACTGAAAGTGCATAAACGTGTCACTTCGTTGGCTGTGATGAATAATCCGACTTCATCTTAGTTAATTACGAAACATGGGCTTGTGAGATAAGGAAACTCGTCTAATGCACAGTGGAATGACACCGTAAAGCATAATGCCTTGCCTTATTTACTTCAAATCTCGAAATACGGAATTCTAGACGGAAGCACGCCACAAAACGGTAGCAAAAAACAAGATGTGCTCAGCTTGACACAGTGTTCGTTCATTGCCCCGTGAAGACTGTGGGACTTTCAGAATGATTGTAAACAAATCAAAGCCCACTCTAACAGTGCCAGCACGATAGACGAATTTATAAATTCGATTAACATAAATAAATATATGTTGTTGTTTGATCTGGTCCAGTAAAAATCAATTTCACGGCTGTGCAAATTTAGCGACTGTGATACGATGTTCTTCTGTAGTAAAGGTCCACTGGATTCTAGTATGAAATCAATTAGGGAGGTGGTTTTCAATCCAATAATACAATGTCTTACCAAGACTATTCAGAGTATCATTACAATACGAACAAATCGGACAGCATTCCCCCAATGTGAATACAAATCAGTTATCAGGAAATTGGACTGGTAGGTTTCGAGACGAGGATCATGAAACCATTTGGGCTGGTAGGTTTTGAGACGAGGATCATGAAACCATTTTTTTGTAAATCAAGAATGACAAACAATATTCCGAAGTTCGCATAAAATAGAGAATTGATGATATTGACGTGAAATGAGCAGATCGAAATAAGGTCACCTTAACTTTGAAGTGCCTGGACACCAAACTGAATATGGAGGTAATTTGAATAGCAATTTCAAAAAAATTGACGCCCGCCAGGCGACGGAAGACGACGAACAATGAGCTTCAAGCCTACTGACAGCGGAGAAAAAAATAACACGTACAATTAAAAAAAATATATATCATTTAACAATCACTGCACGAGGAAAAAATCTCAGTGATTAGTTGCGTGTTTAGTACATGTATCCATTTTTTACCTCCATGATGTACCGTAATATTTTGAAGTGTGTAAATGCACAAAAATAAACAAATAAACAAATAAATAATTAGAATTGAAAATGAAGTGTACATTCTATCGATACACATACTAGTGAAAATTGACAAGCCAATCTTATCAAATCGTTTGGCGTGTTCGGTAATCGTCGGAACATGAGATAAGATTCAAGTCTGATTGCCGATATCCTCACATACTATGAAGTTCCAATGAGTTAGTCAGCCCATTGACCACTTGGGGGGTGATTTTGTCTTAACCACTTCCGGGTCGTTGTCCAATTGCGTCTTCCGGGTTATTGTGCCGAAATCCCCAGGTATTAATAACTTACTGTTTCATTAACATTTCCTTTGGGTATATGGTTACATCTTAGAACGTGCGCCGGCAGCCAGCAAGGGATGCCACTTAGACGAGAAAGTGCGCTCAGACGACAATCATCATCTACGATTTGACGTCATCCATTCAACTCGAAATGGATAGCCATGTTCTCATGGAGTATCTAAATAGTATATAGTACATTATTGAATCGGAGTTGATTTGTGTACATACGCTTATGCACAGTCCGAGGGACTGTGTCTTATGTTTATAAATAGACGAGTACCTAATTGTAGTTATTATTCCGTTACACACTGCTAGATATTACTCATAATCGCCTGGATGACACACAGCATTCCTTCAAGGTTTTTGTACACAAAGAGCGACCCTGTTCTTGTTCATGGAACAGTTTAGCAGAATAACGTTTCTGTTTGTATGAATATGTATTTAGGTTTGAATGTTTGAAAGATTTGAATTATTGATAACAGGCACGTTTGTGTACCTTTCCCTCTGCATTGATTTTTTTTAGAATAGCTTCTTGTCAAATCAATCTGATTAAAATAAGATTCTGGTTGGCTTAATTTTTATTTTTATTTTTTTTATATAATTACTATAATTATTATCTATTTTAATTATTTACTATAATTATTAATTATTTTAATTATTTTTTAAACTTACAATTATTTTGCTGCAAGAATGGTTTTGTTCGTGAAAGCCACCGGGTTCTCCCGTCAAAAAATAATTAAAATAAATAATAATTATAGTAAATAATTAAAATCAATAATAATTATAGTAATTATATAAAAAAATAAGCCAACTAGGATCTTATTTTAATCAGATTGCTTGTCAAATGGAATTGAGAATTTCAAAATGGCGCCGGATACCCCAGAAGACCCAACGATCCGAATGAAATGTAGTATATCGTGACATACTACAACGAATATTTGAATATTTGAAACGTTCCGAGACACTTTAATTAATATGTATTC